CACATTCTCCACAATATGACGCTCCCGGATAAACGCATTCTGACCTTCCGAGACGATCCGGGGAAGGAGAGGGGCCAGTCTTTCAGTCAAAAATTTTGTAATCACCTTGTAAACAAACTGGCACATGCTAATAGGCCGCAATTGACGGATGGTCTCCACATTGTCAACCTTGGGGATCAGAGTGAGCCAAGTATGATTGAAACTGCGAAGGAACTTGCCAGATTGAAAAAAAGAGCAAACAGCCTCCACCACCGAATCCCCCACAATATCCTAGAAGGATTTAAAGAACTTTCCCGTGAACCCATCCGATCCCGGGGCCTGTTTAGAACCCATGGAAAAGACTGTTCGCCGAACCTCCTCTAGTAAGACCGGAGCAACGAGCTGAACATTCATTTCATCAGTGACTTTCCAAGACAGCGGTAGGGCATCAACCCTAGTCCGCATATCAGGAACCTGATTTTCCGAGGAGAAAAGGGTTTGATAAAAATCAATGGCCAGATCCGCCTTCCCCTTCTCCTCTGTAATCCAGTCCCCAGCCTCGTTACGTAGTCTTTCCACGAAATTTCTTTTCCTCCTAGCCCGAGTGACTGTATGGAAATAGAAAGTATTATGATACTCTTGATTTTTGCTGCCAATAAAGTTCTTCTGCTTCCCACTGACGAATCAGATCACTTTCCAGAACCCGAACCTCATCCCAATTTACCGGAGAGACCTGCTTGATACGGTCAATCTCTGACTAGAGAGTTCTAATATTCCGAAGTGAATTTGTCGTACCTGCTCTACTCCATTCATACAAAAGGTGGCGAAGCCTCTTCAACCAGGTCCAAAGCTTAAACATCGGGGACCCCTCCACCTCTTCCTCACGCCAAACATAACTCACCATAGCCCTAACCTCCGGATTATCGGCCCAACGAGCATCGAAACGAAACAGAGGCGACACTGCCGGGGATAGGATTTATCTGATAACAACAACGCCCTGTGGTCCGACCCTTGGTCCGTAAAATGTTTGACAATCGTCTCAGGGAAACGATCAATCCAAGATTGAGAACAAAGGGTGCGGTCCAGTCTCTCCCGAACACAGGCCTGTCCCATCCTTTTGTTCGTCCAGGTGAACATATCACCCTGAAACCCCGAGTCGTGAAGCCCCAAATCGTGAATAAACGAGTGAAGGGCCAACGATTGCCCCGCACTCCACGGATTCCCCCCATCCTTCTCCCCAGCATGGAGGGTAGAATTAAAATCACCAATAACCACAAACGGCAATTGAATACCCTCACAAATCTGGCGAAGGGAGGCAAGCTGGGAAGACCGAATCGACTCAACACAACTAATGTAAACGCCAACCACCACATAAGAAAAATCACTTTCATTAATACGAATACAAATTGCAAAATCCGAATGAAAAAACACCGAAGCATCAACTCCGGGGACCAAGCTACACTAGACCACCAGATGCCTCAACAGCATCAACGAAAAAACAATCAGAAACCTGAAAACCTAACCCCCGCAAACGCTGGGAGACGACACGCCGACGAGATCGAGTCTCCGAAAAGAAAACAAGATCCGGTTTATTCGATCTAACCAGACCTAAAACAGTTTGGAATGTGAGGGAGGGTCCAATTCCTCTCACATTCCAGGCCAAAACCCTCATTTATCCAACTGGGGCCATTCCCGGCTGGCTTCCTCCACCGATTTCAGCAATACATCATCCACTTCCTCCACGAACTGCTTCTTCAGCGTCGGGTTTTCCTCTACTTCTCCCATAATCTCATCCCACGAACGCTTCCTCCCACCCATCCCGAGCATCTCGGTATTTGAGCCATACTCATTGAGCGAGGGAGGCTTCGAACTGCCCTTACCCACCGCTTCCTCACCACCAGGCGTGACACCCACCTCCTTGCCAGCCTCAAAAGCTTGCACCACCTTTCTAACCCGGCCTGTCTCTGTCAGTTTGCAACCCGAGGCCACCAAGTGGGGGACCCGAGCCCGGATCTCAAATTGTCCAACAGCACCATCAGACAACGTGGCATCGGAATCCTCCAACTCCGATCCTGTACTTTTATATGGCGGCTCCCACTCCTCCGACTCCTCCTCCACTAGCACCATCTTCCCTTTACGCGCCCTAGCGGCCTGCTGCACCGCTACCTCCTCATCCGCCATCTCCTCTCCCACCGGGCTAGCAGCCAACTTCCGAGGGTGCCCCTGGTTTCCCGCAATAGGGGCATTCGAGCGAGTTTCAGTTGCTTCCACCACCCGTGGGGATTCCCCAGCCCCGACCTCCTGCCCTGCCAATTTACCCTTTCGAGCAACAGGGGCAATCGGAGCATCGTCCTCCGACTCATCCAGCAGCAATTGCCTTCGACGAGCCGCGAGCTGCACTTCGTCGGGGACGCAGGCTTCGCCTTCCTCTTACCTCGTCGAACAGCCTTCTTCCCCAGCTGCCAGCCGCCCTCCTTCTCGCGATTAAGCTCCAGGCACTGCTCCGTCGGAGGCACAGCCAAGTGCTTGGCCCCCGTCGTCGCACTTCTCCTCCCAAGACCGCGTCGTGACCCGTCCTAGCCGGCCTTGCCGACCTCTGCTTCCGCAGTAGCAGTAGCACGACTCAACCGAGGCGTGCACACCGGTTTAGGAATTGCGAAGCCCTTCGGGCTAGCTCAACGCCGCGCCAGAGCCGCGGCCGCACTCCCCTCCGAAGACCCTCGCCCTGCCCTTCCCGGATTCTCCGCTCGGTCATGCTCCTGCCCCCCAGCAGACCCCGACTCCACCTCTCTCACCATCCTTCTCGCGGTTCCGCCAGCCTGTCTAATCGGCTCACGAGGAGCTGGACGACGAGAAGGCTCCTCCCTTTCAGTCAACAAGCGGCTAACGTCCCTGTTCACCCACACCGTAGGAGGGTTCTCCTCTTCTGCTGCATACACCTTCACTCCCCGCCTACGCGTCGACATGTGGATGCCGAACTTCTCCTTCCGAGTAGGAGGCTCAAAGGCACACTCCCGTTGAAAATGGTCGATCCTCCCACACCGAAAACAAAAGCTAGGGAGGTGCTCGTATTTGAGCGAGACCCAAAAACAACCAATCTCATCGTTGGCCGCCAAGACCTGAGATCGGAGTGGCCTGGAAAAATCGATCAAAGCACGAACCTTGACAAAGTTCTGAGCCGATTCTTGAGAGGCATAAACTCCTGATTCCAGCACCTTCCCAATAGTATCATTGGCGACCTTCCGTCCGAATTGTTGCGTGCAACAGCCGTCTTTGATGTCCCAAAGCTGAACATAGAACGGGGCCACCGCTAGCTCGTCAAAAACTTGTTTGGTTATCGCAGGCACCCAAGCTCGAACATGGAAGAGCCTATCATTGATCACCCACAGTGAGCGCTTCAGGACCCAGTTCTTGGATGCTTCATTGGGGAGCACTACTTCGAACAAACCCAATCGTGCCTCCATGACTTGGAGCCGACCCTTCCCTTGCCACGGCGTATCGAGGGCCTCGCGCAGCTCCCGCAACGTGAACCTGTTCGCCGAAAAGAGTCTCCCCAGCACCGATCGAGCACTACGGTACTTGGTCGAGTAGACTTCCTCAAGCGAAAACTGGACCACCTGGTCATTGGTCACGTGGGACATGGTTTGCTTTGGCAAGGAATCCTCCCGTCGAGAAGCGCTAGGAAAAGCTGGGCTCACGTCAGCAGCTCCCGCGGTACTAACTTTTAGTTTTAAGATGGGGGGAGGAAATAGGTTTATTGGTTTTAAATAGAGGAACTGGAGTCCCCCGTCCATGCTAGGACTCCACGTAAACCCCGCAGTTGGAAGAGTTCCACTGGCGGTGGGACTCGCAGATCCCCATCCCAACAAACCGGTCTTCATAAACTTCGGGATTTTCCCAAATCTGCACCGGATTCCCAGCTCCTGGCTGGTACCATGCCGTTGGCCACGCGGCAAGCATTTCGGCCGAGTAAAATCGAAACCCTTTCTCCAAACGGCCGCCGGCGATGGTATTCCGGGGCAATCCCCCGCCATCGTCGTAACTGCACGCAACGTGCAGTCCCCCGCAAGACTACAATCCGCCGTCGGGGGAATCTCGGCCTTGAGCTCCATATCAGGAATAGCATCCCCAACGATGCCTACTGGTTGTCGATCATATTTTAAACGAACACCATCACAAGCTACCATGGACCCCTGACGTTCCAAAGGAACTTGGTGAATAGTCCAACATTCTTCCTCTTCAATATCACTCGATGACGGTAAGGCAAATCGCCATCCACCTTTCACTTCCTTACGCGGACAGTTCCGCTTGGATGGGAATGGGAGCACAGGAGCCGGCTCACCAATATCCCTTTTCCGTTTCCGTTTACGCATCAACGATGCACCAGGATTAAAATTACTTTGTGCACGGCTTTGCCGTTTCCCATGAAGGACCAACAAGCCCCGACCTCCGACGCGACCCACATGATCCCATACATCAGATGGACTCTGGTCATCGCCGTTCTTCCTCGGACTCTTTCTCGAATTTTCCCATCCTTGATTTGCTAGGCTGGCGACTAGGAAGCCGAAGAGGACCGAGCCGATGAAGCAACCAACAAGCTTGCAGATCCGGAAGAGAGAGGACAGAGCGTCTCTCATCACTCTGCTATGTCTGCCGACGGCCGCTACTATTTGCTCAAACTTGTATATTGTTTAGTAGAAACAAATAAAACAGGTTTAGGTTCGAATTACTTGGATAGAACCGCAACATTTTTTTTTAATACTTGTGACTCAATATTATTAAATTATAGAAATAAAAGTTTAACACAAGAACGAGAAAACATCTAAGATTGCAAAACAAATGTCACTAATGGAATCCAGGCGATCCCAATTCCCATCCAATCTGGATCTCACTGTTAGAACTTGGAAGAAAAATATTAAGTGGAAGGGAAACCCGTTCTAAATAATTGACTGCACTTCTGATTGGGCTCGGTGCCCACATTTCCATGTGAAAACAAAACACAGACCGCCCACCCCACCCATATTTGAAAAGATTAACGAGCAAAAGAAGCTCCAAAGCTCTGTTCTCCCCGGATCCAGTCGCCCCTCTGTCTCTGTCACTTTTGTGTATAACTGTATATAAACAGGGGCCTTGCTTCAACTTTAGCTTCAAACACCTCACTTTCCCTCTTTCTCTTTCTCTTTCTCTCTCTCGATCGTCCTTTCTCAGTAGAACCACAGCAGAAAAAGGGGAAGAAAACCTCCTTTTATCTATTTCTCTCGTAACTAACTCTATCATCCCTCTCTCCCAAATGGGTTTCTTGACATTGGTCGCTGCTCTGCTACTATTAGCAGCAGAAACAAGTGGGAGCTTCTTGACGAGCAGCAGTGACAGTGAGGGTACATTTCCCAGAAACAGCAGCAGCAGCAGCGGGAGAAGAGAAGCATTAGGTGTGAGCAAATGCAATTGGTTCCGAGGGAAATGGGTGTACGATTCTTCATACCCTCTCTACGACCCTGCCAAATGTCCATTCCTAGATCCAGAGTTCGACTGCCTCAAATTCGGCCGCCCCGACAAGAATTACGTCAAGTACAGATGGCAGCCCTTCGCCTGCAATCTCCCCAGGTACTACCAATTCTCGCAAAGTAAATTCGCTTTCGTTTTTGATTTGCTTTAGCTGCTGTAATGACGAAACAAGTACTGTATGGTGGCTTTGTTAGGTTTAATGGGTTGAACTTGCTGGAGAAATGGAGAGGGAAGAAGATAATGTTCGTGGGGGACTCGCTGAGCTTGAACCAGTGGCAGTCTCTGGCTTGTATGATTCATTCCTGGGTCCCCAACTCCAGATACTCCCTCGTCAGGACTGAAGCCCTGTCTTCTGTGACCTTCCTGGTAATGTCTAATCACTTCAATTTCCACCTCCCCTCCCTCCTTTCTTTACTATTTCACGGAAGAAAGAAGTTGAATTGTTGTACATTCCACATTAAATTCCACCGCCGTGGCATGTCTACCCAGCTCTACTCTGTTTCTGGAAGTGGCCGACTATTTATTTTTGCATTTTCGTTGGTTTTGTTTCGTAGTTCTATCATATATATATATAGTTTTATATACACACACAAACACAACTATGTCCAGTTTGCCATAACTCCAATTTTGTTTCTTCTTTTTTCTTCACATTTGATGGTTACTTATCATGGTATCCACAAAATATTGAATCCATTTCAAATCCATAAATCTATATACGGTAATGGGTCGATTTATTGAGTAATTTGGTCTAATTGTCATATGACTTATATGAATATTTGTTCGGACCTAAATAAATTTATATGCATTTTTAATATTTTTGTGTTTGAAGTGAATCATACTTGAGTCAGTTCATTTGGATTAGATCCAAATAAGATTAGGTAACTGTATGTCTAAAACATAATATCAAACTTGGTAATATCTATTTTTTATTCAAATCTTTTTCAAATTCTTTTATATTATCCAAACCTATCGAAATACTAAGAATTAGTCAAATGTTAACTTTCAGTTAGCAATTTTGTTAGTAATATTGACTTGGAAACATGATACTGACTTGGAAGAGACTCATTAAGGTCAACATTCCAAAATTTTAATATTTTAATTAAGAAAAGAGTTACAAAATTATTAACAATAACATACAAATTGCTAATATTTTGATGCATTACAAAATATTGGATAATTAATAGTATTTCGATAGATTTGAGTAATATAAAAAAATCTGAAAAAATTGGATAAAAAATAGACATTGCCCATCAAACTTTTCATCAACTTGAATTATTATTTAGAATTTATTTTAATTTTAAAGAGACTTTTACGTTCAGAAATTTCAAAAGCTCAATCAACCCTCATCAAGATTGATGTTTATAAAGTTTCTTTTATGGTAATTTATATTTTATATAATCATATTGTTTGGTCCCACGTTGGTATGGCGCACCAATGTGTGGGTTGGGAGGTTTCTTAGCATTGAAAAGTTGGGGGGAGGGGGCGTGATTGGTGGTTTCTCTTTTGTTTTAGTTTTTCCGTCTTTCCTTTTTGACGACTGTTTTCGTTAAGTCTAAGATCTGAACTGATCTGCCACAAACAAACAATAATCTTAGTTCATTCTTAATTAATTAATTGGTATATAAAGTAATAGTTTTAATTAGTTTTAGACCTGATTGATATTAATTAATCAACGGAATGGACTACTGTCTTCTCAAGGAACAGTCAATTTTGGCCTTTAGTTTGTTCTGCTTGTGTTGAGATATTGCATTTCATGCGTGGAAAAAGTTTGATCCTTTCTGGGATGGCCACTATTTTGCGCCAAGTTGAGTGTTGCATTGCATTTGCAGCTTACTACTAGCAAGTGGCCACCAGCTTGGGTGCTGTTTGCTGGTTTGGCTCTTTCTACCAAAATTCTCCTCCAACGCCCGCTGTCCAAATAGTCAACACACTTGATTTTCTTTAGACTTTTATTGTGTGTATATATAATTGGAACGGCATATTATGAACCTCAAGAAATAAAATTATTTATAATTGAAACGGGGAAATAAATTATCTAGCATTAAGGGTCTCGCGCTCTAGCTGAAGTGCTGAACCTTTTATCGTCTCCTTTTCTCATGGTATATTTGGTAAAATGAATTTGAAAAATGAATGTTTTGGTATAACTTGAGTTTTTGAAAAATCCATGAATATATGAGGGTTTTAGATTTATTATTGATTTGATAAACACAATTGTTTGTTTGATGGATTTCATGATAGATTTTGGTAGTTAAATTTGTATGTATGAAGTGTAATTTACCTTTATTGTCCTCAATGATATAAGAAGAGAGAAAAAAAAATAAAGGGTAGGTTAGTAAGAAAGGATGAAATTCAAAATCCATAATCAATTCTCACATAAAGAGTTGGAATTTTCAAGTCCATGAATCCCACAGATTTGTTATCTCTAAATATTTAAAACAAACAATGAATTTTGGACAAAATCGATTATTGATCCGAATCCATCACCGAATCTTTCACCAAGTCCATCAAGTAAACAACTCCTAAGAAACAAGGGTTAGAGTAGATCTATATATGGTGGCAATTAGTTGTACCTGTGACTGCAACAGGTCCGGGCATCATTAAGATTTTCCTAAATTGATGGATGAGTTCAAAATGAGTAGGTAGGGATTCTGGCAAGAAAGGTTGCCGTTTAAGGAACAAAGAGGAGCCAGATTTGTGGAACACAATCCCTTTACTCCACAACCCAAAACAAAACAAGAATGCCTTCTTTGCCTTGTCCGATCCTGAGCGGCGTCCACTAGTTGCTTTGCTACTGGCACGTTGCTTTGCTTTGGCAATGGTGGTAAGTAGGTAGAGGCAATCAAACCCTTTGTCCACTGAGCCACATGTCTGTGTCCGGGAGGGACCATGGTTTATTTTTATTGTCCCTTCTTCTTTGTTCGGTGAAGAGTGAAGACTTTTTCTTTCCTTCACACTAGCCATTTGTTTGGCAAATCAACATCATTATGATTTTCTCCTTTTAGATTTACCATTTGTAGAGGAGGGTAGAAATGACAATTTGAATCCTCCTCGTTGAGTATTACCCGATTGGATCTATGATAGGTTGGGTATTACACGACCTGCAATAGTGTGAGGCGTACTATGAGTATCTACTTGTTCTTGGGCGGAGCAGGTATGGGTATTGAGATACCCGTCCCGCCCCACCAGTTTGTCATCACTACAGGAGGGTTGAATATTTTCCGCCACTGAGGTTAACATACTGTGAACCTTATTATTCTTACGGTGAAGTTTAGGGTGCGGATTTAGTTAATTATGTCTAAATTTTTTTATTCAATCAAATATAACTACCTATTTTTCTTTGTGCAAACATTTTAATTATTCAAGTTAAAACAAAAAGATACAAATCGATTAAAAATATATAATAAAAATTTATAATATCAACTCTTAGATCTGATCTTACTCAAAACCTAGAGATCAAATATAATTATTTACAAATACGTAATTAAAGATTTTCTTAACTCTTATTTTAAGCAGCAAATATAACGGTATCTCAGAAATATTACCATCATACAGTACTAATTGATTACATGTTCGACTGACAAAGGTTCCCCAAAGCTACTAACAATATGTTATTGGACATAAATTAAGCAATGATTTGTCTGTGATGGAATGGATCTGAAGTTGAAAAATGCCACTTTGTCAGCTTTAGTCGGTATGGAGTAATATATACACTTGATGACTTCCCTGGTGTTGGTAGGTAGTAAGGTTGCTACTTTGCTTTCTCTTTTGTTTTATTTATTTTGAAATGATTGCTATCAATCAATGGAACTATATGGCCGTGTGTGTTCTGTATCCTTTCCCTCTGCATTTTGTTGTTGTGGACATTGCTTCGAAAACTAGACAAAGAATCAATGCAACCTTCAATAATTACGATGCAAAATGATAACAGGAGTATGGAGTGAGGATACTGCTGTACAGAACGCCATACCTGGTGGACATCGTGAACGACAGGAAAGCAGGACGAGTCCTCAAACTGGACTCCATCGCCAACGGCAACGCCTGGCGCGGAATGGACGTCCTCATCTTCAACTCCTGGCACTGGTGGACTCACACCGGCAGAACTCAGCCGTATGCCCCCTCACCCAGCTCCATTAATACATCATTTTCTGCTACTCATAAATCGAGCACGATTCAAAATCCGAAATGCAGATGGGATTACATACAAGACGGCAACAAGCTGTACAAGGACATGAACAGGCTAGTGGCCTACTACAAAGGGCTCACGACGTGGGCCAGATGGGTGGATCGCAACGTCGATCCCAGGAGGACCAAAGTCTTCTTCCAGGACATCTCCCCAACGCATTACGACGGCAGGGAGTGGAACCAGCCGTCGCAGACGTGTTCAGGGCAGACCCAGCCCTTCTTTGGGGTAAGGTACCCTGCCGGGATGCCTCCCGCGTGGGCGGTGGTGAACAAGGTGTTCAGCAGGATCAAGATCAGGCCAGTGTACCTTATGGACGTCACCGGTATGTCCTTGTACAGGAAGGATGCTCACCCTGGTTCCTATAGCGGACTCCACTCGGGCACCGATTGTAGCCATTGGTGCCTTCCTGGCCTCCCTGATACCTGGAACCTACTCCTCTACTCAGCTTACATCAGCTAGCTACCAACTCCGAATCGGAATTAGAGTCTTACACGACCAAAGGTGACTATAGGAATCATTGCTTCGATGATTATAGGAATCGACTTGAGTGGATTGCTGTTCTTTTCCAAGATTTATAATTTTTTGGGGGGTTTGGCCTTTGTATGTTCTTGTGGCAAGTATGGAATAAGGTGGGTTTGGTGTGGGGGGGGTGGGTCAATTCATATCATATGTGCATATTCTTCTGGTGTAAATTTCCATTGCATTGTTTGAGGCAACACTTTGAATTTTTTTCCTTGGTAGTTGAAAGAAATGGAAATCTCCTTTTGTGAAATAAAGCCTGTGCTGCATTTCAGAAATGTTATGCAGTTCCTTCCTTGCTTTTGCAATATGTCAACGGGTTAGTTGCCCACTTGCCCTACATTACCTAATTTCCAGATTCACCTGCACAACGCCTTTCAAGGGCATGCTATAGGAGGGGAATTGGCTTATTGACGAGATCAGTATAACAATAACTGGGCACAGCTTACACGGACAGCTCCGAGTGAAACATTGTAGCAAATGGGCAAACCCAAGAGCGAAGATGGAGGCCACAAGCGCTGTCCAGGCACCGCATTCATCTATGCCTGCCCTAGAGTTGGAGACAACAACTTTCGTTCCAAGTCGCTGGAGAATCTGCATCTGCTGAGAATCAGGAACCGTCCAGATACTATTCCGGTATTACCCAACGACAGGATACACCGATCATGGAGTGGAGTTGGCGTTGGACACCCTGAAGCCAAACTACCTCAAGCTAACCAGGAGGTACATCTGCATGCGAGGAGTTGCTGGATTGCAAGGGGCCGCCAAAGGTGGCTTTTGGCTAGACGTTGGGAGGAGAAGATTTCGAGCAAAGTTAGAAACAGAGATGCGAGTCTTACATGGTTTCTTCATTCCTTGTGAACGAGACTAGTTCAGGGGAAGAAGCATCAGCTTCCAGCTGAAGTTTTATTGGTTGATAGTTTCTGTCCAATGTTCTCCCCGATAGCTTACAGTCGACGTCTACTAAACCAATTCTCATACACCAAGCTAGATGAGAAACCATCAAAGGATTGGAAAAGGTTTCACTAGGTAGAGTGATAAGTTAGGGATAGCAATGTGCAACTTTTCAAAGGGCTCAGTTGGGATAGATAACAACGGGATAAAACATAACGATGCAGAAAGCATCTGCTTTCCTAATACAAGATAGCAAACTTGCTCGACTTTTTATCAGATTCTTATTCGCTTGTGAAGGCAAGGCACAAACCCAGCCAAGCACAGAATAATTATGCACACTGCAGACATGTAATTGCATGCGGAAAGATTCTCAGTAGTGCTTTCAAATTTTTTAAAACCTTTACAATCGATCAGAGCATCTAGATTTCAATACCCAAAAATCAAAGAGAGGATCCACAAGAACCGAAAGACAATTCGTTTCAATAATCAAAACATTTACATTGAAAACACACGCTTCACAGAAACCCTGTAATGTAATTCCAGGAAATCAGCTTTGTCTATGTAACTCATTGAAGATCATGCGAACAATCATTGGACAGGACACGCTTGAAAATAATCTCATATCAAATCTAGGGATGACCAGAGTTGAAAAAAAAAAGATGAAATTAGACGGAAATCCGAAAAGCTAAAGGAATCATAACAACAGCAGGCAAGTTGATTGGGGATTGAAGGGTGATCAGCAAGGTATTTGAGAAGTGAACCACTCCATTACATGAATCGGAGCTTTAATCAACTCCAGAGCCAATTCCACAATGATTGTCACGCACAAGCAACAGGGGCATATACATGTCAACAGCAACCTGCACCAAAAATTATTGCTTCCCCTCTTGATTAAATTGGTCAAACAGTTAACGATCAAAACTTTTTGAAGTCAGATGATTGCCTATGGGGAAAAAACCCTCAAACACAGACCGAATCGAACTCAAGAAGCCTGTAGTACGCGGTAACTCAGAGGTAGGAAGGAAGGAAGGAAGGAAGAGGGAGAAAAAGTGGGAAAGGGGAAAGAACATGACTAACCCGACAATCCAGATGATGACTCCGACTATGGAGATGAGGAGAGAAAGGAAGGCAAAGGGGAGGCCTAAGAGGAAGCCCAAAGGCCTGCAATCTCCATCGCAGCACATATCTTTTCAATGCTTTGTTCTGTCCTGGGAATTGACTTCTGAAATACTTTCTCTCCGGTTTTGAGGCCTGTTTCTGGCTGGAAACTTCCTTCCTCCTTTCGCCTCCTCTCCTTTGTGCTTCTTTATAATTTGCTGTTATAGACCTTTTGGGTAGTGTGACAGTAATAATGGAGATGGCGTATATTCTGGGAAGTGGTTAGTACTTAGTTTCGGGATGAGGATGACGCGCTAAGCAACGCCCCCGAAATTGACAGCACAGAGAGAGATTGGGAGAGTTTTAATTTTTATAGGCATAATCCATTTTCGTAGCCTCAATTTTCACGTTTGTTTGTGAAAGATACCGCTAAAATTTTCGAAATACATGAAATACTCAAAAATTTTATAGTTGTTTGATAAATCTAGTCATTTTTGTTACAAACGTCAACGGTGTTAGAGATTCCGTTAGTTAGGTCAACGGCACGCTAACTAGGATACCAAATTGATGCACACGTCAGCGACAACTCAGCTTCACTTGTCACGTAGATGCCACCTCATAATTTACTTTAAAATATTTTGGACAAAATACACTGCGTTGTTTATCTGTTTTGTGAGCAGCGCGGTCAGCTCGGGATCGCATTCCTCTGGTGGGATGGTGGTACAGGATCAAGGGGGTTTACCCTTTTTGTGCAAGGTATTATTTATGCAGGTTTGACGGATCTCTATTTGGCTAAATTAATGGCGTTGCGGGATGCGATACGTTGGTGCTCTTTGAAGGGTTTTACGGAGGTTGCTTTCCTAGGAGATGCGCAAACGGTTGTTTTCAAAATCATGGGGCATGAGGTCTGAAATGGGCGCGGAGGGGCAATTCTTGAAGAGATTTCTCAGTTGCGTCAAATGTTTACAAAGTTCTATGTCGACTATCGGTGAAGGCAAAACAATCGAGCGGCTCATGTTGTAGCCAAAAAAGTTCTTTCTTTGTTTCCTATTGGTGTGGTTGGTTTTGATTTTAGGTCGTGGTTTATGTTCGGGTTGTAAACAGTAGTACCTATATTTCTTGGTAATTCAAGTGAGCTTGTGAAAAAAAAAACACTTTCATAGCCACAACTGTCACGTTTGTGAAAGTTATAGCCACAACTTTTGAGAAATTGGAGGGGGAAATGCACTACGAGCCGTCGCCGAAGCCTTCTTCTTCACGGTTGTCGTCACCTTCTTTCTTGCCATTTTTCTGTGACTCCGCCAAGCATTTCAGGCCTTCTCCTTCAATCTAGTGATTGTGGATCTGAATCGGCAATTTGGGAAATAAGGTCTCCTTCTCCAGTCATATTGTTAAGTAACACCGTTAAAGGGATGGACTGAAGTGGATATTTTGTGTATTTCAAAAGTTGTGCTACGGAAGTGTATATCGTTTTTTTTTTTTTTTTTGTTAATCTACATGGATCGCCAACTCATAATTTCTGTCAATCCCGTCATACTATTAAGTGACACCATTAAAAGGATGGATGAAAGTGGCTATTTTGTGTATTTTGAAAGTTGTGGCTGTAACTGTCACAAACATGAAAATTATGACTATAAAAGTATATTTTGCCTTATTTTTTATTATAAGTGTTGATTGGGGGAGTTTGGTTTGGTACTCTGCCCGCTGACCCTCAAATATGAAATATGTGTATGCAATATTCGTAACAAATTTAGTTTGAGTTGACAATTTTGTGGGCACGAAATGCCTTATATTACTTCGATATAAGTACTTAATGTCCTTTATATTACTCGTATTTACGTTGTCATTGAGTCCGCAAAGGAGCGGATTGTGGCTATTCTCGCACTTATGACTTATCTTATTAATCCAAAAGGATTTCTTTGACATAAAAAAAAAAAAAAAAAGAGAGTAGAAAACAATATACACCAAACTACAGCAGCCGTATCGTTGGATGTTACCACTTTTCCCATTTTTCAGCAATGGAATATCCTGAGATCCCATAATTTATACACTCGTCCGATGCTCGAGTTCTTCCGACTTCAACAGCATGATCAAGCTCTGGATTTGCACTGCAGTTAAAATCGGCGTCACATACTGCCCACAAACTCAATGAACGTTCATATAACCAAACACAATACACAATGCTGTCACTGAACACATTCACAGTTTCGCCTTCCCCACTGCCAAACAATGTGAAGGATAGAAGCAAAGTTAGTAACCTACGTTGCATGAAGCCAAAAGGAAAGGAACTACATCATCATTCTCCAATCACTTTCTCCACAATACACTGCAGACACGATTCTTCCCATGGACATCCAGTACATATCACAGCTGCAAAAGCAATATGAACTACAAGAGCATGATCGCAAACTAATTCTTTTTATGTAGGCATCAAAGAATCCTGAATGTGCCAAGTCACAACTAAGGGAAGCAGCAGTAGTTAGGCATGTACAATGTGATATATCATCATCAGAAACAACCCATCTCGCATCTAATCAATCACCACAATTTGGCTACTACATATTATACAATTCTCTCACAAGACAAAATAAGGTACTTGTGGACTAAAGAAATCGGACATCACACCAGTTAGTGAGAAGCAGACCCACTATCCAGTGATGGCATAACTGTTGGCACTTCCGAGCCTGTACACCAAATGCAGATCTCTACCAAGAACGACGGCCTGAAGCGCACCACATCATTTGAATTGGGGGCCTGTCACCTACTCCTAAACCTCTTGACATCCAACTGCAGCAGAAAATTGAACTGAACAGTCAGAGAACTTCAGAAGCACCTCACATCAAATGATTGCTTCAAACCTATCCCTATACCTAAGCCATTTTCCAATAAGCTGCAAAGTATGATATGTTGGAAAGATACCAGTAGTCCAGTACCACTTCGAATTACCTTTAGCAATCAGATTTCATAAAATTTTCAAATTCCAGTATTTAAGAGTCAATTAAATATAAAGGCCAGTCCAGATCAAACCAGGAAAACCTGACATCAAAGGCTCACATAAAGGAAGAAACTTAAATTATGAGATTCAGCACATCACAATCAAGAGAGAATGACAAATCATCTGTGCGAACCCAGCTTGAAAAAGTTATTAACCAAGTTCTGACTCTTACCATCATGATCCTAGAACATAAATGATCTACCAACAGAAAAATACAAGACAAACTTTGTAGCTTGTATTCTCAGCAAGTAATAAGTATTGACGAAATTACTTAGATCTAATATACAACATGTGCCAGAGGCCTATAGAAGGATGATAAAAGCCCACCTGAACTACTCATACCAAGAGTTAGCGCCCTATATCAGAACCAGATGCCGAGGAGCTGTCGCTGTCAGAGTCTGCCACAAATATAATAATTGATGAGAAATGTGATTGAAAAGAGCATCACAGATGAATATATTAAACAATATTTGCATGTGAACAGCCAAAAATCAAAACAAATAAACACTGCAGTACCACTAGATGAAGAACCAGAACCACTGCTGGAACTGCTCGAGCTACTTGACCTACTTCCATTATCTGCTTGTCTGTCCACTAGTGCAGGAGATAAATTCGAAATATTTCTTTCACCTGCAATCATGAGTTGAAGATTAGTACACAGTGAGCAAAAAGAAGAACAACAAAGTCACTAACAATCGGCACAATCCAAAAACTTCACCTTCATTGGCTTCTTTAGGAGGATCAGTAGCAGATGAAAGAAGGGCCTGCTAAGAAGAACCAATGACAGCAAACATACGATCATTTCATCCTTCTGGAAACAGAACAATTTTACTTTCATGAAGTATTGAACGAGATTTTACCTTCTGCTGGACATTTCGCTCCACTTCTGTTCTAACCTGCATAGCCAGTTCAGCTTTTCTCTTATTCTTGCTTAGACTCTTTTTGTAGTTGGTCACAAACCGGTCAAGTTCCCACAGAGTCTCCGCATCAACACTATCGATATCCACTTCAATCTCATCATCACGTTGTGAAAGTGCTGAATTTCGCTTCTTAATTATTTGTACAATATTGTCCAGCTTATCCGAAGGCAGGCTCTGAAGATTCGTACTAAGCTTCTGCTTCTCCTCATATGTCATATCCCTCTTGTGTGGATCCTTTGCCTTGGGCTTTTTTGGAGCAGGGGTCCTACCTGATGGTGTAATACCAATAGGTCTCTGTCTGATGTCGACGGAAGGATAAGTCATCGATTCTGAACGATCCAACATCCTTCTCATATCAAGAGAAGGCAACGATAGTGAAGGAACCTTACGGGAGGTAGGTGTTGGAAAACCCATATCATAAGGGGCAAGTCTCGTCTCTCGATCATAATCCTCCTTCACAACGGCCCACCTTTCCTCAAACATAGTAAGCAACTGTTCAGCCATTATGTGAACATCCTGACCTTTTGGGTTGTATGTCAAGGCATTATGAAATGTAAGTCTCACATCTTCTGCAAACTCTTCTGGTGACTTGTACCAATTCTTATTTAGTCTTGCCTTAACTGTTCCCAAATCCATAGGATGTTTGATAATGGTGTAGTAATCATGCAATCGAAGACCCTCCACATCAACTGGAGCATTAAACACCCATCCATGCTTATGCTTCATCAATCTCTCAAGTAAAGAAGTGCAATTCCTGAATATTTTGGTGTTTGACCCAAATCGAATCTTGCTACCTGATTTTGACTTCTTGTTACTCTCAGCTGGGGGGAACTTATCTTTTGCAAGCAAAAAATCAGAGTTCCTGTAAAATTGATTAGCTTTTGGTGTTCTCTTTTCTTTCTCGACATTCTCAGCTGCACCCTGACTATTCTCCAGCACAGATACACTAAGCTGATGCAAAGGCCGAGTCTGCCTTGGCGTTGGAGTAGTAATAGAAGTAGTGACCTCTCGAGGAACACCTACAGATCCAACATCTGAATTCACCCTTGTCAATCTACTATCAAGGACACTATGTCTCAAAGGAAGCGAACTGCTGATAGTGGCAACACCAAGCTGGCCTTGTTTGGCCTCAATTCTCTTCACCAACATCTTCACAGTATTGAGTTCATCCTCAAGCTTCCTCCTGATCTGTCTCATCTCCAGCTTGGAAACCGATGCTAAATTTATCTTTGTTCTGCTCTCGAGTCCTTCCTTCCCTGCACCATTTCCTGCTGGCTCTTCCTCCCTCCGTAAACTAGCTGCTGCATCAACGTGCTGCCTCTGGAGGCTGGAGGAGTCATCAGAGGTCACATCCAAACGTAAGGGAGGAGGCATTGGGGGTGGCTCCGCAATCTCTGGTTGTTTCTGTTGCCCTGCCAGCTCCTCTGCCAGCTCGCCTTGTCGGTCCTGTTGCTCTGGCTGTTTTGGCTTCCCTGGCTGCTCTTGCACCTGATCCCCCAGTTGTTCTTGCTCTTGCACGAGTTCTCGCAGTTGGTGTTGCTCCTGGGGTGGCTGCTGCAGGTGTTGTTCATGTTGTTGCGGCGGCTGAGCAGAATCAGTGACTTCTGACACTAAGACTTGTGGTTGAGGAACTTCAATTGAGCCTCCATCCGGTGGCTGAGCAGAATCTGTGTATTCTATCACTGAAGCTTGAGGTTCACAAACTCTAATAGATCCACTGTCCCGGGACTGCTGAGCAGAACCTGTGTCTACCGACACTAAGGCTTGAGGTTCATCAACTTTATTAGATTCATTGTCCTCGGGAGGGATAGAACCTGTGTCTTCTGACCGTAAGGGCTGCGTTTCAGAAACTTCGACCGAGGCAGCAACCTGTGGCTTGGCAGAATCTGCATCTTCTGAGACTAAGGCTTGCGCTTCAGAAGCTTGACTCGAGTTATCATCGTGTGGCTGTGGCTGTGGTTGAGCAGAACCTGTGTCTTCTAATACCAAGGCTAATGGTTCGGAAGCTTTGACCGAGACATAGTCAGCAGCATTGTCCTTGTTACTTCCGTTCTGATCAATCGTAGCTGAAGTCGGTGCAGTCACAGTGGTTGTACCAGCAGTGGTTAGGGTGGCGCCGTTGGCTGTTGTTCCCTTCGTGTTGCTGTTGTTGGCTAAGCTATTCCGTAGACCCTTGAAGGATTTTCTCGTATAGACTTTGCTCTCTGAGTACCTTGGCTTCTCTTTAGGTCCATCATTTCCTACTCCTTCCCCTCCAACAGCAGACCCTGAAGCCATACATGTAACTCCAAAACCCTAACTAACCACTTCCTTACTTTCTCTCTCTGTCTTCGCTTCGAAAAATAAAATTGGCACACGAAACTAGGGTTTTTCTGCCAAACTACCTACAGCCACCGCAAAAACCCTAATTGTCGCCCGAACACCGAATTCAATCCGGCAGAAACGCCAGAGGACCACAAAATCGGCAAAAAGACTGAAGCTTTTCCCCAGACCTACAACCGCCTAAATCTTCCTGCCCAAACACGAAACCCTACACCAACAGAAAGAGAAGGACGGAGGAAGAGACAGGGTGATGAAAAAGAGCGACGGGGACAAGGAGCGAACAGATCTGATATTCGAAGAAAAGTTAGGGTTTCAAGCTCCTTTACCTCTTCCAAGACGTTCAGATCCTCCTCTTCCGCGCCCTCTCTTTCTTTCGCAACTTTTTCACTTTCTCTCTCTAAGGAGGAAAAAAAAAAGTTTCTCTCCCTAGCAAACGACACTCCCTCCGATTCTCTTTCTCTCTCTCCCGAACGCTCAGTTTCTCAATTTCTCTCTCTAGAACTACTCCCCCTCTTCTTTGCCGTCTCAAACTGGAACCCTTATCTTACAGGTGGACGGTGCGTATGTGTTCGTGCGTGAAAGAGTCGTACTGAGCAAGTATCGAGTGCGCCAACCAGATAAGCTGCGTCACGCGTTTTGTTTTGAGCGTAAATCCACAGCCTAATAAGATTTGCGCAAACGCTATGTCGAAGTGCGGGCGCGAGTGTGGGAGATATGGAGAATCAAGTGGCGCGGAGTTTGGATTGGTAATATTAAAGATGTTGCCCAGTCGTGGGGAATGCGCGTGTGTGCCAGACTCCTCGACACCAAACGCCCGGCCAACATTTTATAGATCATTGAGTCCGATTTTTATAAATAAATAAATTTTAGTAATTTAAATAATTTTTAAATTAAAAAACACTTTTAATAGTTTTTCAACCAAACACTCGATTGTTTTTTTTTTCAAAAGTATTTCTCTAAAACCTCAAACTATAAACTTCTTTTGTAAAAGCCACAATATGGCCAAACTAGCCCATTGTGTATAGTAGTCACCCTATAAAATGTTTGTGAACTTGGTTTAGTATGTTGGTCCAATAGAGATATAATGGTTCGACCGCTTTAAACTCATTTCACTTGGATATAAAAAAAATTATTATATTATTCATACATTCAAAAATTATTACAAATATGATCTCTGTAATATCATATACATTATACCAAAATAATAGTGTATACTTGGACCCAACATATAGTGAAAATTTAAACGAAATCATATAATATCAACATTCGAATATTCAACTTAGAATTCCAAAGGTAGGGTTAGGCAAATGGGAAAACCGGAAAAGAGAATTCGCAAACCAAAGGGAAAAATGACATGGTGTGACCTTTCTCCGGGAACCTTGTTGCAGCTCAATACGCGGGTGTGTGACATCCATTTTCCTCACCGGGTTCGGGTCAATCTGGGCGGGTTGACAACCGTGCTATATAATCATTTACAAACCACTCTATTCTTTGTTCAAAGTAGTGTTTTGAGACCTGGGTCGGATCTATCGGTTCAACATATACAACTGATAACCGATCACATTCCGGGGCCGTCCATGTACTTGACTGCTAGACATGGCAATTTCCATCTGATATGTGTTACCCAACGTGTTTGGCTTGTTCTAGAGAAGGTAGGCGGGGCATGACGGGCATAGATACTCTCATCGACCTACCCTAACCCGCCAATTTCTCAACCCGTTTTGCCTAAATTACATATAATTTTACTCAAATTACTTAGGATTTTACTTTTATTACTTCATATTATAGCTATAATGAAGTTGTAAATAGCCAAGAACCTCAATCTTGAATAATTTAAATACATTTATCATAGTATAGTTTGTTTCTTAGTTTTTAATGAAAAAATGAATATTTCTAATATTTTTCTTTTATATTGCATATGCATATGGGTCTACTTGCTCCGACCTGTGTTCCATAATAAATTACACGACCTGCCACAAAGCGGGTATAGATATCAAGATTCACATCTCGTACTTACCCTATTGTCATTCCTAAGTAGAAAGAAAGGATAAAAGCGCAAAATACTAATGGGCTCGGAGTATGAGAAGGATTGGCCAGAGTTAACCCTACAAAAAGAAGCACCTGAATTAAAAATAGATTGGGTTTCGTAGACTCAATGATATAGGTGGAGCGAAAATTACAAGTCGTGGACTCAGATACCTTAAAAGGAAAATTTGGAAGGTAGAAGATATCCCAGAAGTCAACAGCTTGGAATATGAAACAAGGAAAAAACATAAGTTGGCTGCTTGAGGAATCACGCCAGAATCAGAGGTGGACGTTGCAATGATGAGTGGAAGAAATTTCAGCGAGGGTTGCGGTTCTAAAATTAGTTAGGAGTGTTGCTCATAACACAGTAGAAGGCCTTGCTATTTACTGAGATGAGGGGGTGAATTTCAGCTTGAAGTCACTATCCTTCTATCATATTGGTGGGATAATAAAGTGTGAGCAAAACGATGTAGAATGGATATTTATAGGCTATTATGGATGCTCAGAGATGGGCGAAAGCGTCGGTCATGGGAAATAAAAAAGACTGTCATTAATGATAAAAATTAGCAAAAGTAGGTCAAATTTGTCACCAAAAAAAATTATTAGGGACGAAATTCCACTTTCGTCAATAAGTTATGTTTTTGCAACAAAGCATATACCTTATCGGTAATGACAAAAATCTTAGTTACTAAGTCTACTATCCAGAGAAAAAATTAGGCGACATGGTCATTTGTGATGAATAAAATCTGGTCGTCAATAATGTTTCGTTGTAACATATGTATTTGGGACAAATCCTACACATCGTCGTCGATAAAGACTGAAATCATCTTCACTAAGAAGATCATAACTTGGAGGGAAAATTTGACGCCTTGATTATTTGTAACGTGCAAAATCCTTTCGTCACTAATTTTTTGCCAAAATTTTAAGTAGTTACCAAATATTCTTGCATTCTATATTTCACTTAAAAATAAAATAGGCTCCTGTTTCTCTATGATTTCTGCATTCTCTTCAACTTTCGCTTCCTCAATCGCTTCCTCAAGTGGCCATACCAAAACCCTAGATCTAGAATTCCCCATTCCATCACAATCATTTATTTTAGCATTTTTTTATCCCACCCATCCATTCAAATTCTCCTTCACCAAAACTCCAAAACCTCTTCTATATTTTTTTTCAAAGGTCTTTTTCTCTTTCGTTAATTAACCTTTCAATTTCTTCTCCTATTATCATTGCTCAATAAACAACAGTTCTCTCTTTCCTCCTCTTCTCTTAGGCCGATGCATGTGTTTTCTTGTACTCTTTATAGTGACCAGTAACAAGCGGTTGCAGTTGTTTCTCATAGATATATATGGGTAATCTAATATTCAACATAAGATCTATCTTTTCAGAGCTTATTAATTTATTTGTTAGGATCTATCGGCAACGAGGATGCCAAAGGCTATGCTACTGACAGTCTTGGATGGTGGTGGTTAAGAGCCATGAACTGCCTAGCTTGCAGTGATTTGCGGTCTTGTAGAGTTTAATCAGACGTGGTAGAGAAACAACCAAAAGATTTGGCAGTGATTGGGCGGCGGTGGTAGTAGGACGACAACAAAAGGGATAACAAAGAGTATGTATTGCATTATTTTTAATGATTGGTATTGTGGAAAATACAATCATCGCCGAATTTCTATTTTTTTCCCTAACTATATGTATTTCCTCATTTCTCAATGTATATATAGCACATATCCTACTATATAGTACATAGTAGAGTGCATATCTTTTTGTATATAGTGACAGGAAATTATTTGAATATATATTAGTATTGTGTACATTTTTTTATTGATATCGTATAATCAACTAGACTTGATATTTCGATTACAACATTAGTGAGAATAGAGAAAATCAAGATTATTCAAAATAATTTACATAATAAAAATGAAAATATTGTAAGATTCGCCAATACGGAAATGTATTAGTGATGATTTTATAAACTATCATGACGGTTCTTTGTCGTCACAGTCCGGTTCTTCAATTTGGAAAGGCATTAGTGACAACCATATTAATGGTAGAGATGACTCTGAGCCGTCACAAATATCTTCTGGCACGACTCATCACATTAAAAATTATTTGTGACGCTCATATTTGCAACGGAACACGATGACAACATGGCATCACAAAAGTGCATTTGCAATGGAATTTGTGCTTTACTAACGAAATCCATTGGTCACTAATGACCTTCTTTTTGTAGTAAGCACATAAGGCGACCTGAGTCGGACCATCGAGCAGTCATGATGGATACAGAAGGGAAGAATGACAATGAGATATGGCGGGGATGGAGATTTAGATATGAGAGTAGTTAGTAAGAAGAGGAGGAAAATAAGAGGGTGATGGATGTGGCCTTGTCTGATAATGACAACGTTGATGTTAGTTTCCACCTCAAATTGTGTAAGTGATTCGGGCTCATTTGTACAATTTTTACCCCCGATTTGCTTAGTTCTTTGAAGCATTTTTACTCCGGGAGGTTTGATTTTACGATGGATTTTGCCTTGTTTTGGTGTTTTTCAGACTTTGGCAGGTGGAACCAACCCCGGAGTCTAAAGTTGGACGAAAGTGCAAAAAATCAAGTCAAAGGGTGGAAGCAGCTGCAGATCACAGTTTGGGCTGTGTGTTCACGGTCACTAAGACCGTAATATGGAGGCGCTACCCGTGAACAGCCAGGCATCCAGAGCAAAAATCTCTTTCACTGGACACAGAGTCAGTTCACGGTCGTAGGACCATGAACTCAGGACATTGCCCGTGAACTGGACTTAGTGATGCGACACGTTTCGACTTGAGATCACGGTCCGGGCTTTCAGTTCACGGCCGTGAACTAGAATCGTGATCTGAGCCCGATCTGGGTATATAAAGGAGGTTGAGCTGAAGGAAAAAGGGAGAGACCTAGTGTGAGAAACTTCTTCTTCTTCAAATTTGTAGAGTGAGAAAGTGACGAACCAAAGAAGAGGAAAGCTAGGGTTTCATCTTCAAGCAAGGATTTGGGAATTCCTCCCCCAAAGGAGGATCTCTTCAAACAAGAAGCAAGGCTAGCATCTTAGTGATGGTTTTCCTTCTTCTCTCTTGTGTTTTCCCTTCTCCTAGCATGGAGTAGTCTCTTATTTCACTTGGGTGTTTGTAAACCCTAGCTACAATTATGTGAATTCTTGTATAGATTGAATGATTTGTGTATGGTTGTGTTTAATGTGAATGTGGAGGTATTATTCATGAAAGATTGTGTTGTGTGAAAGCCTATCAATCTAATTGTCATTCTAACCTAGGTAGAGAGAAAAACCCCTTACTTTCTTTGAAAGAGGCTTGAATGATGGGCTTTTCTTACGCAATTCATTGTCTCCTATCTTGGTTAATGCAGGGCAAACCTCTTATTTCGTATTAGCACCTAGGGTTTGGTTGTGGGTGGCCGTCCGAACTCTGATTCGAGGGTGAAGTCTAACCAACCCTTAGTCAATAGGTCGAGAGAGTCACG